GAAATCCTCTCACATTCACTACTGAACACCTCACACACACACTACTGAAATCCTCTCACATTCACTACTGAACACCTCACACACACACTACTGAAAATTAAGCCTCACACACACACTACTGAAATCCTCTCACATTCACAACTGAACACCTCACACACACACTACTGAAAATTAACGTCACACACACACTCCTGAAAAACATTTTACTGAAAGGTTCTTAGTAGGGAATGTGCATGTGTTTCACCTATGTGTGTGTGAGGGGATTCTTGCTGTAACGGAAGTCATTCTTGCTGTAACGGAAGTCATTCTTGCTGTAACGGAAGTCATTCTAATGTAACGGAAGTCATCTGCTAGTGGTCTCTTTGCTATCCCCGTTAGCTTCATTAGCTCCAGGCTGCTACTCGGACGTGTTTGTTGTGTGGAGTATTCTTCTTCATTGAAATATCGCACTTATCTTATGGCTCTGCGGTTCAAACAGACCGTCCATGAATGCAGTTTATTCGGTAAGTAAAATTCAAGCACTTTATTTCTTACTTGTCTTTTTATTCAGCTAACAAGCGATACGAAGCTACATCTGTGCTAAATATGCTATCCGTAGCATACAAGTTAAAACATAATAGAGAAGTGTAACACATTAAGAATGATTATACTGTAAAACATAAGGCTTCTCGGTGAGGTTGGTAAAATAAGGTCATGCTTGTACATTAGTTAGTTTGCTAGTTAGGTAACTGTATGCATTGTTATTGTTAATTTAAAATAGCTATGCTCGACGATGCAGACAGCTAGCGTCACATTAGTGTTGAAGAGCAGAGTACTGTATGAGATTAACCCATAGATTAACCTCACTATAAGATCTGTGTATCTGAAAAATATGAATCTCACATTTCCAGTTGGTTCCAGAAATAACGTTAACGTAGATATTGCAATATGGTTTGTTGAGCTGTAGTTGATTATTGAAGCTTACTGGTTAACGTTCATCATATTAAACGAACGAACCCAAACGTTGTTGTTTTTATTAATATTATACCAATACTTACTTAGCATTTTATTATCATTACACTGGAGAAACCGACTTATTGTGGCAGCAGAACGTGAACATGTAACTTAATGCCTGCATTTGAGGACGAAAAATAGCTCAGTCAATGCTTTAGGGACAAGGAAATGATTTGTTTAAATATTAGATATGACGTTATGTGTGCTTCTGTGACAAGGAAGCTTATTCATTGCATTACATTTGTTGAAGATGTTTGTCTTTTACCCTTACGTGTGTGTTACAAATGAATGTGAATATGGTATAGGACAAATATTTAAATTGACTGTCTCATGAAAAACGATTCTAAAATAAAAAGGACCCCAACTATACAATAATACACAATCCAACTGATAAGATACAGTAAGGGCTTTGATATCCAGCACTTTTTTTAAGGATAACAAAAAGATTATCACATGACATTTGCATGTAAAAACAAGTCTGTGACCAACACATTGTTACTTTACATATATATCTGTTTGTTTAAAGTTTCCAGGTGATGCAGACAGACCAGAGGATGCTGACCACGAGAGACAGACCTATTCCTAACATCAGTGAACTTCAGCATGGACTCAAAGGTACAAAGACTCCTTTCATACTGTACAAAGAATCGAGAAACGTTCTGGTTTAAATAGATAAAGTAACAACTATAATCAGCTTTCACATTTCAATGTATTTAAGGCAATTATTATTTTACATTGTGAGAATTGCTACCATTTGTCTCTACATATTGTCTGTAAAAGACGTGGTAAAAGTGGTTCTTGCAGTGAGACAACCGAGCAGTTGAATATTATTTAATAAGATATTTTAATGTTGATTAACTGCAGACTGTTCATTCATAATCTGATTATCTTTGTAGTACAAAGTGCTGAATTAAAAAAACACATTAAAATTAAAAAAAATACATTATTTCTACAGCCGCTAAATAAACAAACCTTTCATAAATAACACACTTGCTCTGCAATAATGTCATATGTTTGTCATTTCTGTTAGGAAAGGACATACCTGAAGGACACAACTGCCTCACCGTTTTCTCAGAGGGGCAAGAAGAAAATGAAAAGCTGATTTCAGATTAAAGACCAATACAGGACATTCACTAAGAAACTACACTTTTATTGTGAACACAAAGTCAAACAGGACCATCATTTGTTTGTGACAGCTGAGCCCAGTATGTGCTCACAGATGCAGTTAGGTGGTTTCTTCATCAGGCCTGGTCCTCCTCCATCAGGCCTGGTCCTCCTCCCAGAGAAAGACCTCTCCACCTCAGTCCTCTCCAGCCAAACCCACAGACAGGACATCCGTCATGCTGAGGTTTCTCCCAAAGTCTCTGCACGCTGTCTCAATTGATCCACACTGTGAATATGAGGGGGAAATGTGTGTCATAAATGCTTTAGACAATAAGAAATATGAAGTTAACTGTAAGGAATGGCTCATTATTTTGTAAATAGACAAAACTATTACTGTATTTCTATATCTCATGTCTGAAAGTTTAATTTAAAAGAAGAAGAGGCCCCAAAAATAAAGATTGGTATATCAATAAATGTAGTTGATTTTGTCTTTTTAATTGTTTAAAGTAGATAGAACTGGTACTTAAGAGTTTGAATACAGTCTGGTTGCGGAGGAGGCACACAGAGAGCATATAGCTACCATCACATGTAACTAAGCTTGACTTGAATTTATTAAAAGTATAATTAAGTAACAGCAACAAATCAATAACAAAAATCATGCATGAATTTACCACATATTGTATGTTTTAGAAACCTTAAGGCATTTATAGATTTGTATGCAAGTAATATCCCAAAACGCAATAAATACCTTAGATTATTATTGAAAGTTTTGCTGAATAGTTTCATGTTCACTTACCTTAAGCAACGTAAAACGTGCAGACCGGGAGCAACAGAAGTAGCCGGCTAGCTGGAGTACAGAGGTTAGTCTTATATTTACTTACTGTTAACGAACTAATGCTAACATAACTGTCGGCTAGAAGTACACAGCTTAATCAACCATATTTAACAGGCCATTATCCTCTCAGCCTGAAATATCAATCACTTCAATAAATGATCAAACAAAAAAGGAAAGGTTCTGGCTCAAATTGGGTGTAGTTAGCTTGTTAGCTTATTGCAGCTTAACAACACTGACCTTTACAACAGGAAGTACATCTGCCTCCCAGCGAAACCAGAAAGTAATTATCCAAAACAAGTGCTCATAATCTGACCGTTTGTGACCTCAACAAACATGCTTTTTAAAACTATTTTTCTCCTTTTTCATATTCAGAATTTTGTATTTATTGCAAAGTGTAATGAGGAAGATATTGTAAACATTTTGAGAAGAACTCTACACTGTATTGATAGTATTAGAAGACAACGTGTGGGAGATGATTTTGAACAGGGGAGGCTTTATCGTGAGCTTGATCATCACACAAGGACATTATCAGAACTTCTCATGGAATCCCGAACTGGTAATGAGCCAATCCATGGACAATATTTTGTCATGATTGAGAGTTTATATGGATGTTTGCAATCTATTCTAACGGAATATGAAGCAACTCAGAGATACAGTGTTACAGCTAACAGTCGAATGATTCCACCTACTGTTAACACTAATTTGCATGGTCGTCCAGCTTATAGCATTACAAATGCTCAAATTTCACATTGCTTGTCAATGGGAATGAATTGGAGAGCAATCGCTAATTGCTTTGGGATCAGCTGCCGCACCCTGTACAGACACAGGCAAAACCTTGAGATCCAGGGTTTACAATACAGTGTTTTGACAAATCAAGAGTTGAACCAGATAATTACTGATGTACTACAGAGGACACCAAATGCTGGAGAGGCTTATATAACTGGAAGTCTCAGATCAAGGGGGTTAAGGATCCAAAGATGGCGTATAAGACAGAGTCTTCATGAAGTTGACCCTGTAGGAAGAGCAATTCGGAGGAGGCATGCTATCCGCCGACGCATTTATGATGTTCAGACGTCTAATGAACTGTGGTAAGAACATTACAACTTAATTTGATTAACTAATAGTATTTAAGAAATATTTACAGTATGTGTTAAGTGTTTTCTACCTCAATTATTTTATACTTTAATATATTTATTAATGTGTGCATGAGTAATTATTAGTATACAATTAAACATGTGTAGGCTTAATCTCGTGCATATTCACACAAGCGTCTAATTTTGCTGTTCTATGTCAAAAACATTTCATTTGTTTTAATATCCTACTAAATGTTCTGCAATTATACTTATGTTTTCCTTTTTATTCTATTTTACAGGCACTTTGACGGCAACCACAAGTTGGCACGATGGAGGATGGTTTTTCATGGCTGTGTCGATGGATTTAGTCGATCTATCATTTATCTTACCTGTCTGGATAATAACAGAGCATCGAGTGTATTGACATTGTTTGTGAGTGGAGTAGACAATTTTGGATTACCATCTAGAGTAAGATGTGATCATGGCATGGAGAATATATTGGTTGCCCGTTATATGCTTGAAAGAAGGGGACTTAATAGACATAGTGTCATTGCAGGGTCCTCGGTTCACAATCAACGCATTGAAAGGTTATGGGCTGAAGTTAATAGAGTAGTAAGTAGACATTTTATCAGTCTTTTCAATTACATGGAGTCCATCTATATACTAGATTCTCTAGATGAGTATCATTTGTTTTGTCTACATTATATTTTTATGCCTAGAATTAGAACAGCAACAATAGAGTTCATCAATCAGTGGAACCACCATGGACTCTCCACACAGGGGGGTCGTACTCCACTACAGCTCTGGCATGCAGGTATAATTAACTATATGGGACAGGGAAATACAGCTGTGGATCACATTTTTGACAACAATGACTATTATGGGATAAATGAAGAAGGACCTTTACCTGAAATACAGACAAATAATAATGTTATAATCCCTGCTATAGCTACTGTTAATGACACAATAGCTCAAGCAATACAGCAACAGTTTGATCCACTACATGATGATGGAAACTTAGGCATCAATTTATTTTCTTCTCTTTTGCTTTTTGTCCAGCAACACAGTACATAAGAGCAATTTTACAGAAGTCTGAACAAACAAGTGTATCAGTAGGCAGGAACAGCAGAGACCTAAAAAATTGCACATGGACAGTGCAAAGTGTTTTTTGTAGTAGGGCCTATTAAGTTATCAACATGACTTATAAGGCCTTGAACAGTTCACACAGAAGATGTGGGACATATAACATTTCAAATAGATGTAATTAAAATGTGCTCTCTAAGAGGTTTAGGGCCAAATGGTAACTATTTTGATTTCTGACCAAAAGTGAGCATTTCAGAATTTTGAGTTTAAAGTCAGAATTCTAAGGCGTCTAGGGGGTGCTAGGTGGAACAGTTGATTTTTGACCCAACAGAGACCAACCATGAGGAAAATCCATGGGACAAAAGTGGACTAAAGAAACGATAAAGAAAGGGTTATTTTTGTTTTTACATTGGCGATTAGTATTTTACATTTAATTAAAAGTGTCTTAATAATAGTTCACTTTTCTCCTGTGGATTGTCCTCTTGTTTGATCTCTCTCCATCGGGTCGAAAATCAACTGTTCCACTTAGCGCCCCATAGAGGCTTGGAGTACTTCTGTTGTGGTTTTCTTTAGCATTTGTTTTCTGACATCTTATAACAAAAAAAACAAAAAATGACAACATTAAAATACAATGTTGGTTGTTTTCCAATGAGATTATGTCACATTAACAGTGATACAACAACTTCCTTGCTTAATAACAAAGACAATGAAAACACTGTATTTTTTGTGTAACAACAATATTTTGTCTTGGACAATTTAAGCTCTGCCAAAGCCATGTGTATTGGCAAAGGCAAAGTCCAGTTTTGCCTTGAACACAGAGTATGAGCTGTGCAACGGCAGCTTGAGACAGTTTATGCATGTATTTGCAAGAGGGAGGTTTGACACAGCAGAGTCTCCATACTCCTCCTCGTGCAGGAAATCAATAGATGGCATAGGTTGGAAGCCAATTGGTGGGATCACTGTCGCTCCCGTGGCAAAGGCAAGGATTTGCTCAAGTTTGGAAGGACCCTCTTGATCTTAAAAAAATTAAAGCAAGATGTGTTTTTATGGCTGAAATGATTGTATTGAAAAGTACAAGTTCTAGAGGAGACAACATGGATCTATGTCAATAAACATTTCAACTTGTCATGTACTTTTTACAAACCAGAGCTATTACCTTCCGCATCAATTAGGTAGTCTCTCCAGTAGGGAACCACCATCTCCTCTGCTCTCCTCTTGTTGCTGCCTTGCGCAGATAGATGGATGGGGAACAAATCCTCCATTATCTCAGCAGTCAGTGCAGATTGCTGATGGCAGAATAGAGGGCGGAAGCTGTCTGGGCTCTTCTGGAGCTTTCCCAAAACTCCAAGGGTTTTAAGCCCCTCTTGGAACCTTTTTAATCGAAGAAAGACATATTTATTTCAGTGATGAGCACTCTCAATTCATAAAATGAAGGCTCTGACAGAAAACCAACATTCTGGGTACTCAGACATCAGAGGATTCTGCTAATTTAAAAAGTTTGACTGAATGTTTGCACGCTGCACTTTAGACCAGGCAAGCAAAAAAAAATACTAGGTAATTTCTAAATACTTTTTCCTTTTAACCTTTGTCAAATTATACCCCAGTATACGGTATTACAGCCGGGTAATATGTATTACTACGCTTATTTTTGCTAGCTCAACTTGTCGCTTGTTGTTTTAGTTTCACACTTAACACAACATTTTAGAAGATTACATTGAACCAGGAGTCGGCAACCTGCGGTTAGCGTTTAGTTATTACGCTCCACATAACTGGAACAAACTGCCAGAAAACTGCAGGTCCACTGCAACTCTCACTTCTTTTAAATCAAAGCTGAAGACTTTTCTATTTGCCACTGCCTTTTATTTAATCCAATGTTTTTATCTTACACTGCACTATAACTTTTATTCTTGTATTTTGAACAAAGTTAATTCCATTTAGGCTTGTTTTCTTTCAGGTTTTTATGACTGTTTTTAAAGGATTTCTTTAACGTAAATGTATGTTTTTCTGTTGCACTACATCTTGTAATGCTTTTAATTTGTTCTTTTGTAAAGCACTTTGAATTGCCTTGTGTTTAAATGTGCTATATAAATAAACTTGCCTTGCTAATATTTGTAATTGTTCTGATATAGACAATTACCGTATTAACCGCCCAACCCTAAGATAGACTTTCGTTTGAGAGAAAGCAAAAGAAAGAAAGAGAGAAACGGAAATACCTTTGGAATGGGGCTTCAACCCGGTGCACAACTTGAAACATGAGGATATCATGGACAAGCTGTTCCTTCTCCTGAACCCTTTTCAGCGGACGAAGACACCCTGCGTTGGCCAAATAATCCTGCATCTGTTGAGTTGCAGCAATGAGGTCCTCATATTTTGAACTCTCGGACACCTGAAATAAAATGGTAGTATTAAAAAGCTACTAAAAACAAATAAAACGTAATGGTTAATAAATGGTTCTAAATGGTACATCTTGAATTTGCTTTAGTTCAGCATACAGGAGCATAGTTTTACATTTCAAAGACTGAATTTGTTAATATGATAAGTTTTGAATAGCTGTGTTATGAGAAAAACCAACCCTTTTCACTTGATTGTAGATGTCTGTGTCTGCAATGTCCTTCAACACTGGCTTGGCTGTATGGCTGCCTGCAGCCAAGCAGTCAAATAGTGTTGTAGAGAGGAAACTAGGTGGTGGGCCTCCATGGACAAGACTGACAGCAATAGCTCTTCCAGCAAGGAAATAGCGGTCCTCTCTGTGTGCTGTAAAGTCAGTATGTGGTTGAAAAGATCTGAATAGCTCAGATAGCAACAATGACTTTTGTTATTGACCATAGTCAGTAGAATTTGAAATGTTATTTGAATTTACTGACTACACTTCTACAGTGGACAAACATTACCTGGAATATCAAGTGCCAGATTCTGACTATATTCTGACCCCTCAAACATGGAGCTCATCATCAGAGCTTCCATCAGAAGGCGTAGGAACTCCCTCCTTGGTCCTCCCAAATCCACTGCCTCCTCATTCCGTCCAAGATCATCGGAAAATTTGATGTTCATGGTGGCATTGGGGTCGTACGTGGCCCGATTGAAGCTCCGGAAGGCACCATCCAACACTGCCGAGCGGTTGATGTTGAATTTACAGCGACTATTTGCCGAGATTTTATCAGCCAACTCTGAGAGGATCTCCTGAACAGAGGCATGTTCAGTTGCCTGGGCTCTGAAAAAAACAGAACAATTACCAGAAATGGCACTTCATTATCTATTGTTTTACTGAAGGGACAATTTAACTTTTACATGTTTTGCATTACAATAAGATTCACTATATAAAATGTTTTAATGAACATGCAGTTGTATGTGTGTTATAGTATTTTTGATATTTTGGTTATGTCTATAACTATATGAAATGATAACTTACTGTTCAGTTTGAAGGCTAGCTTGTATTGCACGATTTAAATCCTCATCATCCGACGATAAATCAGAGACATCTCTCATTAAGGTCACATATGAAGAGTAGTCAGATGTGGGGGCAATGGTCGAGCTGGAAGCCGTGACAGAAGAGGTGACACTGGTAGTCACTGGAACGACAGAAGAGCTGAAGCTGGAGTTGGTGGTGTGAGGCAGAGAGCTTGTCGTGTGAAGATAGCTGTTGAGTGGCAGGCTGGAGGTAGCGGTTTCATCAAGAATTAAACCATCGCTGTGGCCCTCTTCGCTGCTATCTTCCCTGGGATGAGTTGCCCTTGACTTTGACCTTGTGCTGGGACCCTCCTGGATAGCACAGGACTGATCCTCAGTATCACTGTTGTAACCCTTATCAAGAGAAAAACAATTATATTTGGATTACAATGATATTAGGTCAATAAAAAAATTTAAACAAATGAGATCCAGGATCTAAAAAACAAGGGTAAACTTACAAGAATAGCAACTGATGGTTTTACATACAAGGCTTTTGACCTGAAGACCTTGTGAATCATGTGACCATCAAACTCTTGACCTTCTTTAAGTTTAGGTGTCACAAGTTTATTTCCACAAGCCATTAGAAACTGCAAGCTGAAGAGTTGACAGATAATAAGCATTACATGATTAATAAAACATTAACAGACACAGCATGCATGAATGATAGTTACAAAGAATGACTCATTACATAGCTGTTCCAAGACCAGAGTAACCACATCAAAAACGTCTTTACACATATTTTTTATATTGGGCAAATTAAGCCTACCTCACTTCCTCAGGAATTCTGGGCTTGAACTCATCCCGGATCTGTCGGAATAGGGTCAACTGGTTCCATGATTTATGGAACTCAAAAGCACTGAGTATGTGACCATTTGCATGCAAGAACTGTTTGGACTTTTGCTTGCACACAAACTCCCATGTTGGGTCAGGGAGTAGAATTACATCCTTGTTGAAATGGTCATGGTACTCCACAGAAGTGGGCCTGAAAAATAAGAGCCAACCAGTTAAACATTTAACATACTATGACACAATGGAATTTAATGACAATGTAATTTTTCCTTAATTCTCTCAAAACGTCAAGTAACAATAAGACCTTAACAACATGCTATAGCAACCTAATTTCATCTTATTGTGGTAGGTTAGGACTATATAATAGTAAACTACAAACTGCACGAAGCTGGTTCAAACTATTGCAGTGACTGTTGGATGAACTAGTAAGGCTCTGAATCATTTGTGTGCTACGCGCAATCTCAGGCATGAATAATAGTTTGGGATGAAAAAGGTGAGAAGTAAAAACCGACACCCACTAGATGGGTTCCAGGTGATTTTACTCTAGGGCTGGTGACAAGCTAACATAATTACAAGACTGTGCAAAATGCCCTGAAGTAACATCAGTCTCAGCCATTGCTTTTATTTGTATTTTGAAATAATTGAAGTCAATGGCGAGAGAAGGGTTAACTTTTAATGATTAAAATCATCACTGCTATTGGGCCCTAACGTGTGTTTACTAACACCGGTTACTCCTATAAACAAATAAACACTTAACCATATACATCTTACCTCCTCCTCCTGCTTCCAGAGGCCCACGAGTTGAAATTTTGCCTCACTCTTTGACGAGTTGATGGGGGCTGCTGTGGCCTTGAACTGCTCGGTTGTGTAGAGTTGGCCTGGCGAAAAAGAGTGGCGATCTCTCCATCTACCCGAGGAGAGGTTACTCCTGGCGGGGGGACGTAGACTGCTGCGCAGATGTTAATATGCTCGTTATTAACGCTGCTGCCTGATTGAGACGATCCGTGTGGTTAGCTTCCATTTTTCCACCAGGCATCAACACAACAAACACGTCCGAGTAGCAGCCTGGAGCTAATGAAGCTAACGGGGCTAGCAAAGAGACCACTAGCAGGTGACTTCCGTTACATTAGAATGACTTCCGTTACATTAGAATGACTTCCGTTACATCAAGAATCCCCTCACACACACATAGGTGAAACACATGCACATTCCCTACTGAGAACCTTTCAGTAAAATGTTTTTTCCGGAGTGTGTGTGTGAGGTTAATTTTCAGTAGTGTGTGTGTGAGGTGTTCAGTAGTGAATGTGAGAGGATTTCAGTAGTGTGTGTGTGAGGCTTAATTTTCAGTAGTGTGTGTGTGAGGTGTTCAGTAGTGTGTGTGCAAGGCCAGATGTTTTCAGTAGTGTGTGTGTGAGGTGTTCAGTAGTGAATGTGAGAGGATTTCAGTAGTGTGTGTGCAAGGCCAGATGTTTTCAGTATGTGTGTGTGTGAGGCTTAATTTTCAGTAGTGTGTGTGTGAGGTTAATTTTCAGTAGTGTATGTGTGAGGTGTTCAGTAGTGAATGTGAGAGTATTTCAGTAGTGTGTGTGCAAGGCCCGATGTGTTCAGTAGTGTGTGTGTGAGGTGTTCAGTAGTGAATGTGAGAGTATTTCAGTAGTGTGTGTGCAAGGCCAGATGTTTTCAGTAGTGTGTGTGTGAGGTGAGTTTGAATTTTGGCCTACACGGCCCCTCATACATCTGTGCCTCACCTCACCCCACAGTAACTGGCTTGAGCGCGCTCACAAAATAAGTGCCCGCGCTCCAGCCAGTTACTGTGGCCTTACGTGAGGCAGAGCTCGTCCCTGCCTCACTCCTCATCGCTCCCATGTAGTTGTAGCGGAGCTCGGCAAATTTGCTGATTTTGACTATAAAAAGCGATTGGAATCAAACATAAATCACATTTACAACACAGATCAGTGGAGACATTTTATTATTATTACTATTTAGTTTTTCTTTAGTTGTTTTTCCGTTACATTATAGTATGGCCAGTCTATGAGTATGACAGGTGAGGCTCTGCCTACCCTGCCTCCCCTGACTGCACGTCGCTGGTGTGTACATTTAAGTCCCGAGAAAGTCAAATAAGACAATAGTGTAAAACTATACTGCCCACCACTTTGATTGAACTAGGCCAGTAGGTAAGGACTTTCCACTGGATAATAACTTACTGCAGCGATGTTTATGTTTTAACCCTAACTGATGCAGTTAGTCACTTCTTTAATGTTTGTTCTTTCTGATGTAAAGTCAAGGTTGTGACTGTTTGCAGTAAAGTTGTGGGGCGCTGAACTGTTCTTTTGATTCTTTTGAATTTTGAAATATGATAGTAATTCCTTATCTTTCAAATTTGAAGGAGGGTGAGCAAGCATCTTGAGGAGCTTTCATCATTAACTCCTCCACAAAATATAGTTTATTCAATAATAAATGAATATGTGAATCATAACAGTGATTGACAGCTGATAGGAATAATATGATTGTTAATATTATCATATTCATACAGACAAACATCGATGAGACAGTTAATTCATGTACTTATTGCAGCAGTCTGCATACATTTGGTACCCCTGCTGGTCTAAGAGTGAAACAAACTAATTCAGTTAAAATTCATTACATTATGTCTGCCACCTTATATATTTATATGTAAGGCTTTACTGATGTGCCACAATAATGTCACCTATGTTATTGAGTTACAATATGAATATTGTGGCTTTCCAAGTTAACATTGATTGATATGACTGCGATTAAATCAGCATATACTTCTGCCAGGGGACGCCACCCCTCAAAATCTCTTTCACTGAAGGTACTATTGTACCTGAGCAGGTGAAAAAACTGAAACGTTGACTTTAATTAAATGTATTATGTTAACACATTTCACATACCTTTGTTAGGTAAGTTGAAAGCAATAATATTAAGTTGAACCTATTTAAACGTAATATTATTGCTTTCAACTAACCTAATACTAATATAAACCTAATTTGTTGACATAATACATTTAATTAAAGTAAACGTTTTAATGTGTTCAGTGTGGGGGGGACATTGTTTCAATGTGTTCAGTGTGGGGGGGACATTGTCTAAGACGTTCTGTGCCTTGGAAAGGACACGGCAGTCAAAGAGTCCAGACCACCCCCCCACACCCCCAACAACATCACAGGCCCTGCGGTTGGTTTGTTGAGTCTGCTCCACTGTTATTTAATACAAAACTGGAGTACTGGAGTCATTGCTCAGAAGAGGAGCCTTGTCTCTGGAGCTACAGGGTCCACCTTCTCAAATATGAGTCTTTTTCAGACTCTCAGCTCCACGCATCCAGCTGTAAGCTTCTCAGTACGACCAGTGTGATGTGCTGCTGTGGAGAGAGATATTAGATACTGATACATGATACTGACAGGCTCTCCTGGAAGACGCTCATGCTGTTGGCTGTTCACAAGGAAAGTGGCAGGAGAAGTGTGAAGTGTGAAGACGAGAAAGATTTAACACCACCCTATTTTCTCAGCTGCCCACATCTGGCCAATCACAGTGTGACGTGGGTGTGAAGGTTGGAACGTCGGTTTCACAAAGTGGAAGCAAAACAAAAAACGTCAGAGGTGTGAGGAGATGATGCTGATCCATCCTCCCACTTCACTTCAGCTGGAGCGCAACAAAGTCTTTAAAGATCAAATGCAAAGCTTCCAAATATGCTACATTTATATAGAAATGTTGTTTTTAAGACTGCCTGTATTTTTTATTTTATTTAAATCGAGATAATACACCCAAAAAAAAGCTTTTTATTGATCCAAAACTCGACCCAAAGCCGTCTGAATTTCTGACATGTAATTCCCAGCAGCCTCCGCGCGCGTGACGTAATAGTGGCCAAACAGTCTCTGGACCAAATATCCCGACTTGGCAGTCTCGGTCACATGTTTTTCTAAAAGAAAACTGAATTAATATGGGTTATTGTTGAGCTTTTTGTTGTACGAACGGTGCGGGATCTGGGAGAGTTTTACATGCATTTCCCAAAGACCAAATCATCCGCAAAAAATTGATTTTTTTAATGAATCGTGTTGGATGGCAACCGACAAAATGGAGCAAGTCGTGTTCTGACCACTTCGCGTGTGATGCATACGACGTTGATCCTGCTATCATGAAGTCTGTTGGTGGAGAAGCATTAATAGCACGTCGGAGGCTGAAACCCGGAGCCGTCCCCTCCATATTTCAGCACAAGAAACCACTGAAAGAACGAAAGAGCCGGGCGATGCAGAAACGCCAAATAATTGAGGTAAACAACTTTTGATTAGATTTCAAAGCGCACGGAGCACAGCAGATAACGCAGATAACGGAATTGCAGTTTTATTGCTTATAGAGGTGGGCACCGTTAGATTCTGTGTCTTTACGATCATAAACAATGTGTTGGATGTGGAGCTAGGATAAGTAATAAGGGCGCTAGGAGTGATAGGTTAGCATTTTTTCGCTCGGGGCTAATTCACTGTTAGCATTGTAGTTTATCTGCAGCTCATTCATCGCTCCTCCACTCATAACGGAAAATGTCGAACGTCCTACAGTCGGTGATGCAGACTTCTTCTCCCATCTCTTCCTTCACTTTCCCATAGTAGTTTTCTCGGCTTGTAGGCATGGTCTGGCAGTTTCCACATCTACACCAATTCTCAGCACCCTCGGCCTCTTCCTCAGATGGCGAACTTGAATCATCGCCATCAGCACTTTCATCGGTGATATCAGGTGACGTTTCCTTGTATTTCCTCTTCGACATCAGAGGCTCGTATAGATATGGTTGGATGTCGACAACATACCTCCAGATATTGGGTGGCCTCCGACTCAGAATCAGACATGATAGACAAAACTAAGTGTGTACTATCGGCGGAAGCCGCTGCGAGCATTTTTCGATCGGGGCTAATTCAGAGGCTCACTCAGAGCGCCTGGACTTTATTTTTTCTAAACCTCTCTAAAAAGGTCAATTTTCACTTGTTTTGCATCAATCTTGATACAGGGTACTTATTATATGTTATAGTTTGGATTCCTAAAGCTTTTAGTCTATAGTCTACTCAGAATCAGACATGATAGACGAAACTAGTTGTACTATCGGCGGAAGCCGCTGTGATTGATAAGCCAGGTGGAAATATGTTTGGCACATCTGACGTCACGCACCGCCATCTTGCAGAGGAGCGGCGGAGAAAATAAATCGTCGGACTTGGTGTTGGGGGTTGAACAAAATTAATATTGCGCATTGCCAGACTCATATTATCTCCGATTTTAATACTGCAATATCTTAGATAGTGTTGTAGCTATATGATTTCGATTGTACTGGCAATTATACAAAAAGCTTTGCATTTGATCTTTAAAAGGAGATCTAAGACTTCTCCAGTCAGTCTATGACTTACAGTAGGTAGCAGTCAGCATGACAACAGTTTGGAGAAAGACAGAGGTATCAATCAATTAAATCACACATTTGTGTCAGGGGGCTTTACAGTGTGTACAGCATACGACAACCCCTCTTTCCTTAGACCCTCGCTGTTACACGGAAAATCTCCCAAAGAAACCTGGGAAAAATGTAATAAAAGACTTGAAAGCAGCAAACAGAGGAGGGATCTCTCTCCCAGGACGGACGTGATAGATGTTGTGTGTATAGATTAAAAAAATAAAAAAATACTACAAAGACAATCCAAATGACCAAAATGATAACGTGAACATGTAAAAAATAGATGGAACCAGGTGCAGCCAAAATAAACTAATTGGGCGACAGGCAGGACCCCGACTCATGATCCTGACCTTTAGTACTGGCAACCTGCAAGGTGAGAGACACAAAACAACTCTGGAGATGATACCCCGGCTGCTGAGTTAGTCAAATGCATTTATGGGGAATAGGTGAAGAGTGATAGAGAGGACATGAGTGCATACAGTACAGATAAAGAGACAGAAAAAAGGAGAAGAGAGGAGAAAATGTAAAGTTCCCCAACAGTCTGAGCCTAGCAGCTTATCTGGTTCAAGGCAAGCCTGAGCCAGCGCTGACTAGAAGCTTTATCGAAAAGGTCTTAAATGATTCCAGCAGGAAGCTAAGCATGGACTGCTGCACAGCCTTAACCCTTAGATGCACGAGTGACTGGACCCTACACTCTTCCATAAGTGGGTCAAAACGGACCCGTATTAGAATAATATGTGTTTTTATACCATTTTTGTCATTTTGGTTAAGAAAAATCTATTTTTCACTATTTAACATTTTCGACATTTTTGTTACATTTTAGAAAAAAACGTTTTGAACATATTGATGCAAAGATCCAACCCTCTCTTACCTGCCCTGCAGCTGAACGACCTATCCGACCTTTATTTCCTCCCACCTTGACTACTGTAACTCACTTCTCTACGGCATCCGCTCCCCGTCCCTCGATAGACTCCAAATTGTAATAAACGTAGCCGCCCGACTCCTCACACACTTCAGGTCATGGCACCACATCACACCAGTCCTCAAAGACCTTCATTGACTTCCCGTCTCCCAACGCATCAACTACAAAATACTGGCACTCACCTATAGCCCTCCACCATCTGACCCCCCATCTCACTGGTCTTCTCACCTCCTACCAACCCCCGCGGTCCCTCAGATCCACCTCAGCCAGTCTCCTGTCCCTCCCCAAGTCCAAACTAGGCAGCTTTGGGGACAGAGTCTTTTCAGTGGTAGCTCCCAGGACCTGGAATTCCCTCCCCCAGGATCTCCGCTATTCTGAGACCCTCACAGTATTCCAGTCCCTTTTCAAAACTCATCTCTTCACCTCTGTCTACTCATAGCCTTTAGACCTTTTGAAAAGAAAAACCTACACAGGCTTTGGTGTTATTGTGTGATTGTAACAAACTCTTTACAATCATTTACCCAAGTCTGCTTCCTTCATTTGTTTGTTCATTTTGTAAAGCTTTTCTATCTTTCTTTACAAATCCAGTTCACAGAAATGTGTTTTTGATGCAAGCAATTGCTGCATGTTTTCATTTGACACAGTTTAATTAAACATAGGAGTTTCCATAGAGTAGCATGGAATTTAACTTCAAAACGGAGCAGTCTACCGAAGCACAATGCGACAGGTGATTACAATCAATGAATGGAAAGCATGGATATTCAGGTAGTGCCGTTTTTTTTTGTATACTTCTCTGCAAAAGACGCTGAGTGGTAAGAGTGGAACCAGAAAAGTAAAGTTGCAACTAGTCAGAAAACGTTTTGGTAAAACCTACTCAGCAAAGCCAAGGGGAGATTATTACATTACATGTCACTTGTTAGACACTTTTATCCAAAGCAACTGACATGCACTGAATACTGTGGACAGTGCCCTCAGGAGCAATTTAGATGGATGTGCCTTGCCCAAGGACACAGCGGCATGCTGACTGCAGTGGGGATTGAACTTGCTCTCCCCTGATCCAAAGACCATCACTAAAGCGCTGAGCCACATCCTTAAGATACATTTGATGACCTTTGCAACTTCATCACTACCTGAGACACACACGTTGTCCCAGTATTTTCACCCTGTCATTGCAACAGCTCCTTTCCTACTAATCCTTTTCTTCTTCTTTTCTTTTTTCCACTTTAAACTTACTAAACCAATGTTTGAACCAGCTGGTATAACAGGTTCCTAAACTATAGTTGCCTTCACACGAGAAGCACTGTATTAGCATCATGGAGCTGGAGTTCCTTTGTAGCACAAACCAAAATCACTTTTACCTCTAATATGTATATGTTCTCTATTTATCTGTACTACTTTCTGTCCTCATTCTACTACAACAACTTGATAAATGTGTTCCTTATGTTAATACGACATCCAAAACAGGTGTAAAGGTGATGTGGATATGACAAAATGATCAAATACCTCCCATTATTCGCTGAATGCTTTAAATAAATGATATGAAATGGGGAAAGAGAGTGGGAAGAGTCTGGATTTTCCATCTTCGAGAACCTGACAGAGGTGGAGCACATCAACAACCTAACACCCCCCCCCCCCTCAAGAGTTTGTGCTGTTTGTACAGATTTAACTCGACCTGTGAGATGTCACTCAGGAGCGCTGATGAGAAGCTGTTTGTCAAAGGAGCCTTTTCACACAAAAACCCAAAAAGAGTGTGAGCACCCATATGGGACCAAAGTGTTGCTGCATCTGCGGCGCTGCGGAAACACACACACACACACACACACACACACACACACACACACACACACACACACACACACACACACACACACACACACACACACACACACACACACACACACACACACACACACACACACACACACACACACACACACACACACACACACACACACACACACACACACACACACACACACACACACACACACACACACACACACACACACACACACACACACACACACACACACACACACACACATTCACAGCTTTTTGGGGGCAAAGCAGCATTCATTCCTGACTGCAGCTCTATATTGCACAGAATTGTGCAATTGTGTGATTTCACACTGAACTTTTCAACCCCTTTTTTCAGCAGAAGAAGAAAGACGAGAGGAGAAAACACACATCAGTATTTTTGGCAGCTGGTGAGTTAGGCGATGCTCCGACGTGGAATCCCTCCCCCTTCCTCCCCTCCTTGTTGTATTGTATTTATCATCTGAATTTGCCGAAACAAGTTTAATATTCTGAAAGCCAAGACTTTGTTTAATTGAAATCAGATGAAAACAAACTGTAACGGACCCTGCCGTGTTATTTATGATTACTCTACACTTACATTCATAATGTCAGCCGGAGGGAGGGGGGGCGGCGCTGCGGAAGAGCAGATTGCCTGTCATCTTCCCTTTACAAGCTTAAAGAATGTATTTATCGTGTGAGTTTGGAAATAACAGTTTCATATTCTGAAAGCCAAGACTTTGTTTGTTTAAATTTTGTTCCGGAGAAAACCAACAGTTTAAAGGGAAAAATGGGAGAAACCTCAGGGAGAGCAACAGAGGAGGGATCCCTCTCCCAGGACGGACAGACGTGCAATAGATGCCGTGTGTAATTGAAAGATAATACATTTGCAACATAGGTAGTCTAATGTTTGGAAATGCATGTGTGTATAATAGGAAGATGAATCCACAAGGATATCCATCCAGGACCTATGATCCAGGACCACAGCTACGACTCAAGATCCAGGGCTCGCGATTCAGGACACAGGACCGCAGGATCATCCATGACTCCGGATCCCGGCATATATAGACACCAAAAAGAAAGACATTTGGGGAAGCTGGGTTAATCGGAACATGAGAGTACACAGGTATAGACAGAGAGAAGGAAGAAGTAAGATGTCCCCGACAAACTAAGCCTATATCAGCAAAACTAGGGGCTGAAATCTAATCAGCCCTAACTATAAGCTTTATCAAAAAGGAAGGTCTTAAGCGCACTCTTAAAAACGGATAGGGTGTCTGCCGCCCGAACACAAACTGGAAGCTGATTCTACAAATGTGGAGCTTGATAAGAAAAGGCTCTGGCTCCCATTGTACTTTTAGAGACTCTAGGAACAACCAACAACCCTGCATTCTTGGAACGCAATGCCCTAGTAGGACAGCAGGGTATAATGAGTTCTTTTAGGTAAGATGGCGCCTGCCCATTTAGGGCTTTGTAGGCGAGAAGAAGAATTTTAAATTATATCCTGTGTTCTATAGGGAGCCAGTGTAAGGCAGCCAGAACAGGAGTAATGTGGTCCCTTTTCCTAACTCTGGTTAGTACACGAGCTGCAGCATTTTGAATCAGCTAAAGCGACTTGACTGACTTCTTGGTACACCCTGATAATAAGGAGTTACAATAATCCAGCCTTGAAGTAACAAATGCATGGACTAGTTTCTCTGCATCGTTTTGAGGCAAGATATGCCTGATTTTTGCAATGTTACGTAGATGGAAGTAGGCAGTCCTTGAAATTGATTTTATGTGGGCGTTAAAGGATAAATCCTGATCAAATATAACACCAAGATTCCTTACAGTCTCACTGGAGGCCAAATTAATGCCATCCATAGTTAGTATATCTTAGATAATTTGTTTCGTAGATTCTTCGGGCCAAGTACAAATAACTTCAGTTTTTGGTCGTGTTTAACATCAAAAAAGTTTAAGGTCATCCACGTTTTTAAGTCCTTAAGGCAGTCTTGAATTTTATTTAGATGATTAATTTCATCAGGCTTGATTGATAAATATAGTTGAGTATCATCCGCATAACAATGAAAGTTTACAGAATGATTCCTTATAATATTGCCTAACGGAAGCATATATAATGTGAACAAAATAGGTCCGAGCACTGAACCCTGTGGCACTCCATGGCTAACTTTGGTTTGCGTGGAAGATTCATCGTTAACACGTACAAACTGAGAGCGTTCAGATAGATAGGACCTAAACCAGCCTAAAGCAGTTCCTTGTATGCCAACTAAGTGCTCTAGTCTTTGCAATAGGATATCATTACATTACATTGCATTTAGCTGACGCTTTTATCCAAAGCGACTTACAATAAGTACATTCGACCAGGAAGACACAATCTTGAAGAAAACAGAATCATATAAGTACATCAGGTGTCATAGAGCCAAACATTTCAAGTGCTACTCAACTGGCTATAGATAAGCCAGTCTTTTATTAGTATGTAAGTGCTCTGTTAGCAGTTCTTTGTTAGTAATTCTATCGCTCGAAGTGGAGTCGAAAGAGATGAGTTTTCAGTCTGCGCCGGAAGATGTGCAGGCTTTCTGCTGTCCTGATATCAATGGGGAGCTCATTCCACCATTTTGGAGCCAGGATAGCAAACCCACGTGTTTTTGCTGAT